CCCCCTGGCAAGGGCCGCCTTCTTCCTGCCTTCCCTACGGCGAGGAGAGGGCAATTGGGGAAGCGGTGGACACAGGGATTAATAAAGAAGAAACACCATCACTCGCGTCGTAAGGAAACTGTATGCTGGAAATTCCTTAGAGCTTTAAGTACTAGCCCTCTGTAGGCGCCCCCTAAAGGGGGACTTATTTAAATTGAGCTAGTGAAAATCTTAAAGATTGGACAATCAGCAGGAAACCAAATTGTGTAAAGCAAGAGTAGGATCCTCAGAGACTATACGTTTCCACTTCTTGAAGCCTAAAAAGTTTTTTTTTCGGGCCTTCGGGGAGTAAGATATAGTCCAAACTATTCAGAAATGAGTAGAGTAGCATTAACTCCTTCCTTTTTTCCTTATGCATACAAAAGGCAGGGAGAGGGAATTAAGCTACAGAATAAGGAGTCAGTATGGTCCCTATCTTCTGGAGGGATAATTAGTAAAAAGGGGCAGACCTTCTAGTACGAAAGGATCAATAGGCTGTGTTTCTCTAGTGTACCAATTGTTGGTACTATTTTGTTTAAGACCCCTATATCTCCTTCCCTTTAGGAATCAAGGAGGATGGAAAGATAAGTGGGTAAAATCCTTTTGAACTTAAATACCTTTAAGGTTAAGATAAAAGGTCACAAAATGGGAACGCATAGTTGGGTAGCCACAAACATAATAGATAAGTGCTGAATGTCTATAAAGCAAGAATCTAACCCCTAGATACTTTAAATATGATTAAAGATCATTAATTAAGAAATAGAACATTTCTAGATAGGCTGCAAATATAACATATTGTAAAATATTTAGTTTAGCAGTACTAATTTATAAAAAAACTAGGTGCCAGAGGATTGTTAAGAAAAACAAAAAACCAAAAAAAGAAACCCTTTCGCCGTAGGAGCCGTAGGAGCCGTAGGAGCCGTAGGAGCCGTAGGAGCCGTAGGAACCGTAGGAGCCGTAGGAGCCGTAGGAGCCCTCCCCCCTGGCTCTCCGAAGGCGCCTTATGATTCCGTCCTTCGGCTCCTTCCCTAGGATTCATCACTAGTAGAGGGCTACGGTAGAAGAAAGGATTCATAAAGGGGGGCAAGGAAGGTTAGGGTTATGACTCCTTCTTTTTATCCGAATGCGACCGTCCGGCCTAAGGAAAGGAGGAAAAGAAAATGTTAACTTATATATAAGAGTTCGAATCTCTTAGTTTTCTATCTTGTACCATCGATAGTGTCCCCCAATATCTCCTCTACGTAGTCATACCCTTAGAAATAATTAGGATTGAGGCAAGGACTCATGCTCTCCTACCTTAATTATTAAAAAGGGTTGCTCTCCTACCTTAATTATTAAGAAGGGTTGCTCTCCTACCTTAATTATTAAAAAAGGTTGAGCAAGGACTCATACTTTCGCCTCTCCTACGGACCCCCTGCCTTTGCGCCTTCCCTTCCTTCCCTCCTACGGAGTAGTACTCCGAAGGAGTACGTAGTTTGCCCTCTCCTCCCCCCTGCCTTTGCAGGGGGGTACGTACTCGCCCCCCTGCCTTTGCCCATTTAGCCAAAGGCGGGGCAACTACTCCTCGCCCCCCTGCCTTTGCCCATTTAGCCAAAGGCGGGGCAAAGGGTAGGACTAGTAGTCCTGCCTACCCTTCGGCCCTACCCTTCCCTTTGCCCTCGCCCCCCTGCCTTTGCAGGGGGGCGAGGGTAGGGATCCTACGGCTACTGCGTAGAGAAAAAAGGGCCGTAATTATAAGGTCACCCACCAATCCATCCATAAATTTAAGCGAAATGGTGTAAAGGTTTTGCACAACAGCCTCATGACCTGTTAGTTCAGGTTCGAATCCTGATTTCGCTAGCCTACGGAGAAAAAGAACAAGTAGCTAATGCTAGTATTTGGAATCCTGATTTCGCTAGCCTACGGAGAAAAAGAACAAGTAGCTAATGCTAGTATTTGTCCTTTTTTTAGATATGT